GGAGCAGGCTCCTCTCACTGGCGGTCCGCGCGGGCCTCGGGGCCCGCCTGAGGTCGGACTCTCTGCTCAGGGCCCCGCCCGCCCCCACTCACCTGCGCCGGGAGCCCGGTCTCCCGCGTTCACCCAACTCCAGTAGCGCCCCCGGTTCCGACCTTAGGTGCCAAGCGCCACCCCCGGCCACATCAGCACCGGAACACACCACAGCTACTTCCGGATTCGCCTCCCCTCCCGCCTCCGAATTGGACTAGCCAGCCACCCGCACATTGCGATGGACATAGCCACCTGCCAATCACAATGAGGCGTTTGAGCCGTTGCTAGGGTTACAGTTACAGAAGGCATGAAACCGCCAATCACAAGCGGGATTAAGGGGATCCGCCCAATAACAACACAACAGCCAATCAGCAGACATAGCTGGTTCGGTGTAAAAGTCAGCCTGGCCGCGGGTGGTATTAAGCTTCAAACACAGCTCAGGTAGGTGGGGCCGGGCCGGGCCTGTTACAGGCCTCACCTCAGGCTGGTAGCTGGGTGCCACTTACCGCACCTGCCTGCCACACCCCGCATCAAATGGCAGGTAACGCTGCCATAAGCCGGTTCTGGAGCACAGCCACTGAGCAGGGATGGCCCCAGGCGCAGCACATCACCTTGTGCTGGGATAGTCCTGGTGGGGGCGGATGACACCAGAAGGCCAAAGCAGAGTTGCTGTAGGGTGAACTGACAGCGGGTAACCACGTGTCAGGGGGCCCGAAAAAACAACACAACGTCAAGTACACACTGAAGCACAACTTGAAGTAGTGCAGCTTTGATGTTGGGAGTCATCAGCAATGGGTCACTGTGGCGAGCAGCAGTCAACAGTTCAGTTACTCGGTTCGAGATTAATGGCCGTATGGATCTTGAGGTACAAAGGATGAGTCGTAAGCAGAAGATTTGGTGGGCAGAGACTAATTCCTTCCTTAATATCGAACTACGTATACATTCAGTGTGGAAAGGGCTGCCATTCGTCCATTGGCCTTTTTAGCCACACACACTCACAAGATGTAATACTGTTGTCAGTGTCCTCTTTGGTCCCGAAAGACAACAACATAAGGATAAAAGCCAGTCAGTGCATAGAGCTTGGCACATCCTCCAGAGAGTAAAGACAGCACTACAAACTGTTACTATTGAAAGGTTTGGGACTGTGGGGACCTAGTAGGGTCTATAGGGCTGGATTAGTGGGGATAAAGGGAGGGACAGGGTGAATCAGTGAGGGGGCTAGAGGGGCAGCTAGTGAAGAGCAGGGTCAATGGAGGGGGAGTCACCAGGGGGTTTCCCTTCATAAATTCTCAGAAATGTAGGGCTGGAAGGGACCTTCAGAAGTCATCAAGTCCAGCACCCATCACTGAGGCAGGACCAAATAAAACTGTCCAATCTGTTCCTAAAATACTCCAATTACATGGATTCCACAACCTCCCTAGGAAGCCTGTTCCAGTACTAACATAAGAACGGCCGTACTGGGTCAGACCAAAGGTCCATCTAGCCCAGTATCCTGTCTACTGATAGTGGCCAATGCCAGGTGTCCCAGAGGGAGTAAACCTAACCGATAATGATCAAGTGATCTCTCTCCTGCCATCCATCTCCACCCTCTGACAAACAGAGGCTAGGGACACCATTCCTTACCCATCCTGGCTAATAGCCGTTAATGGACTTAACCTCCATGAATTTATCCAGTTCTCTTTTAAATGCTGTTATAGTTCTAGCCTTCACAACCTCCTCAGGCAAGGAGTTCCACAAGTTGGAACTTCCTTGTATTTGTTTTAAACCTGCTGCCCATTAATTTCATTTGGTGGCCCCTAGTTCTTGTATTATGGGAACAAGTAAATAATTTGTCCTTATTTACTTTCTCCACATCACTCATGATTTTATATACCTCTATCATATCCCCCCTTAGTCTCCTCTTTTCCAAACTGAAAAGTCCTAGCCTCTTTAATCTCTCCTCATATGGGACCCATTTCAAACCCCTAATGATTTTAGTTGCCCTTCTCTGAACCTTTTGTAATGCCAGTATATCTTTTTTAAGATGAGGAAACCATATCTGTATGCAGTATTCAAGATCTGGGCGTACCATCGATTTATATAAGGGCAATAATATATTCTCAGTCTTATTCTCTATCCCCTTTTTAATGATTCCTAACATCATGTTTGCTTTTTTGACTGCCTCTGCACACTGCGTGGACGTCTTCAGAGAACTATCCACGATGACTCCGAGATCTTTTTCCTGATTCATTGTAGCTAAATTAGCCCCCATCATATTGTATGTATAGTTGGGGTTATTTTTTCCAATGTGCATTACTTTACATTTATCCACATTAAATTTCATTTGCCATTTTGTTGCCCAATCACTTAGTTTTGTGAGATCTTTTTGAAGTTCTTCACAGTCTGCTTTGGTCTTAACTATCTTGAGCAGTTTAGTATCATCTGCAAACTTTGCCACCTCACTTTTTACCCCTTTCTCCAGATCATTTATGAATAAGTTGAATAGGATTGGTCCTAGGACTGACCCGTGGGGAACACCACTAGTTACCCTCTCCATTCTAAAAATTTACCATTTATTCCTACCCTTTGTTCCCTGTCTTTTAACCAGTTCTCAATCCATGAAAGGACCTTCCCTTTTATCCCATGACAACTTAATTTAAGTAAGAGCCTTTGGTGAGGGACCTTGTCAAAGGCTTTCTGGAAATCTAAGTACACTATGTCTACTGGATCCCCCTTGTCCACGTGTTTGTTGACCCCTTCAAAGAACTCTAATAGATTAGTAAGACACGATTTCCCTTTACAGAAACCATGTTGACTTTTGCCCAACAATTTATGTTCTTCTGTGTCTGACAATTTTATTCTTTACTATTGTTTCAACTAATTTGCCCGGTACTGATGTTAGATTTATCGGTCTGTAATTTCCGGGATCACCTCTAGAGCCCTTTTTAAATATTGGCATTACATTAGCTATCTTCCAGTCATTGGGTACAGAAGCCAATTTAAAGGACAGGTTACAAACCATAGTTAATAGTTCCGCAACTTCACATTTGAGTTCTTTCAGAACTCTTGGGTGAATGCCATCTGGTCCCGGTGACTTGTTACTGTTAAATTTATCAATTAATTCCAAAATCTCCTCTAGCGACACTTCAATCTGTGACAATTCCTCAGATTTGTCACCTACAAAAGCCGGCTCAGGTTTGGGAATCTCCCTCACATCCTCAGCCCTGAAGACTGAAGCAAAGAATCCATTTAGTTTCTCTGCAATGACTTTATCGTCTTTAAGCGCTCCTTTTGTATCTCGATCATCCAGGGGCCCCACTGGTTGTTTAGCAGGCTTCCTGCTTCTGATGTACTTAAAAAACATTTTGTTATTACCTTTGGAGTTTTTGGCTAGCCGTTCTTCAAACTCCTCTTTGGCTTTTCTTATGACATTTTTACACGTAGTTTGGCAGTGTTTATGCTCCTTTCTATTTACCTCACTAGGATTTGACTTCCACTTTTTAAAAGATGCCTTTTTATCTCTCACTGCTTCTTTTACATGGTTGTTTAAGCCACAGTGGCTCTTTAGTTCTTTTACTGTGTTTTTTAATTTGGGGTATACATTTAAGTTGGGCCTCTATTATGGTGTCTTTGAAAAGCATCCATGCAGCTTGCAGGGATTTCACTTTAGTCACTGTACCTTTTAATTTCTGTTTAACTAACCCCCTCATTTTTGCATAGTTCCCCTTTTTGAAATTAAATGCCACAGTGTTGGGCTGTTGAGATGTTCTTCCCACCACAGGGATGTTAAATGTTATTATATTATGGTCACTATTTCCAAGCGGTCCTCTTATAGTTACCTCTTGGACCAGCTCCTGCGCTCCACTCAGGACTAAATCGAGAGTTGCCTCTCCCCTTGTGGGTTCCCGTACCAGCTGCTCCAAGAAGCAGTCATTTAAAGTATCAAGAAATGTTGTCTCTGTATTTCGTCCTGAGGTGACATGTTCCCAGTCAATATGGGGATAATTGAAATCCCCCACTATTATTGAGTTCTTAATTTTGATAGCCTCTAATTTCCCTGAGCATTTCATCGTCAGTCACTATCACTGTCCTGGTCAGGTGGTCGATAATAGATCCCTAATGTTATATTCTTATTAGAGCATGAAATTATTATCCATAGAGATTCTACGGAACATGTGGATTCACTTAAGATTTTTACTTCATTTGATTCTACATTTTCTTTCACATATAATGCCACTCCCCCCACCCCCACCCCACGACCTGTTCTGTCCTTCCAATATATTTTGTACCCCGGAATGATTGTGCCCCATTGATTGTCCTCAGTCCACCAGGTTTCTGTGATGCCTATTATATCAATATCCTCCTTTATCACGAGGCACTCTAGTTCACCCATCTTATTGTTTAGATTTCTAGCATTTATGTACAAACACTTTAAAAACTTGTTACTGTTTATTTGTCTGCCCTTTTCTGATGTGTCCGATTCTTTTTTATGTGAATGTTTGTCGTCTGATCTGGCCCTTACATTATCCTCTTCCATCCTCTCCTCCTGACTAAAACCTAGAGAATCTCTATCAATAGACTCTCCTCTAAGAGAAGTCTCTGTCCGATCCACGTGCTCCTCTGCTTTCCCCCATCTCCTAATTTACAAACTGCTCTGCAACCTTTTTAATGTTAATTGCCAGCAGTCTGGTTCCGCCCGAGCACCCCCGGCCCGGCCCCGCGGCTCCGGCCCCGGCTGAGCACCCCCGGCCTGAGCGGCTCCGGCTCCGTCCCTGGCGGCTCTGGCTTGGGCCCCGGGGCGCCGTCCCCGGCCCTGGCCGAGCGACTCCGGCCCGGCCCCGTTCGAGCGGTGCTGGCCGAGCACCCCTGGACCCGGACCCAGCCCCAGCGGCTCCGGCCCGGACCCAAACCTCGCGACCCCAGCCGGAGCGCGGCCCGATTCCTGGGGGCGGGGCTTGCCGGCAAGCCCCGTCCCCAGGAATCAGGCCCCGCTCTTGCTAAGGCTGGCCCTGTTAAAGAGCAGCAAATGAACCTTGTCCCCTTCCCACTCCCCTTCCAAACTCCCTTGCGAAACTCCCTGTTAGCAGCACCTTGTTCGCAAAGCTCCAACTATCCTTATAGTTAGAAAGATTTTCCTAACAGCGAACATAAATCTTTCTTGC